ATAGGTTGTACCTGACACTAAGTTCAGAATCACGTAGGGATTGCTCCCACATGTATATTAACAAATTGTCTTTGGCTTTGCTTAACTAACATTAGGAGACTCATTTTAGCACATCAATTATGCTCCTTCTGTGTGACATAGTTAAGACAGGATGCCTGGCATGTCCCCCTCCTACATATTCTCCTAAGGTTAATGTCATTGATAAAGGAAGCAAATTTTTTAATATATTCCACTTCTCCAATAAGACTTACCAGATGTCATTACTACAGATTCTTCCCACCTTTCTCCTACAGTGTGAGAATCATACTATGGGTTTTGCTCAAGGGAAAACTGGTAACAAATGGGTTTAATAACATCTATCTGTCATTCTGACCAATAAAAGTCTCCTGTTCCATCATTCCTTCCACCAGTTTGACCAATGTCAATCACCTATTCTTTTTATCCACCTGCCAGACCAATGTCAGTCACCTTTTCGATCCATCTGTCTGCCTGTCTCACTAATATCAGTCACCTATTCCACCCATTTATCTATCTCTCTGATTGTTGTCAATCACCTATTCCATTTATTTATCTGTCTGACCAATGTCAGTCACCTTTTCCATCCATCTATCCTTCCATCTATCTGTCTCACTAATATCAGTCACTATTCCACCCATTCATCTGTCTGACCATTGTCAATTATGTATTCCATTTTTTCATCACACCAGTGTCAGTCACTTATTCCATCCATCCATCCATTCATATGACCAATATCAGTCACCTATTTCATTTATCTGTCTTGACCAATCTAAATCACCTATTCCATCTGTTCACCAGTCTGACCATTTTTAATCACTTTGATCCTTCTAGCCATTTGTCTAATCAATCCATTGCACCTAGAATTGCTATGCAACCCTTTGACATAATTGAGTGCCATTTTGTGGGTGAACTATCTTGTACATAAAAATGTGCCTTTTGAAATAGGAAATTTTCCAAATGCTTTTTATAACTCTTACAACTTTTTTTAAAATCAGTTTTGAATCTCCACAGTTGCAGCATCATTATAACAAACATAACTTAGGAAATGAATAAAGATACCATCATACCTGTCTGTTAAGGTCACCTGTGTTAAACTATTACCTGCTATAAAAGCCCACTTCTTAAATAAATAATTGCAGAAATAAATTGTCTTAAAAGGACATGTTTTTTACTTCAAAGAGGTGACCACCTAAGAATTGGTTTGACTTGATCCTCATGCAGTCTGATGCATAATACTATTGAATACAGTTACTGAACTTTGTGGATGGCTTGAGTTATAACTCTTATGATCTTAAAACAAGTAACACAAAACATCGAAAACCAACAAGTTTTGTTTTTAAATTCAACAAGTAATTCATTTCCCTAGATTACAAGGTGAAAATTTAAAAAAGAGCTTACAGTATTGTAAATTAAATCCCAAATAGTCCTATACATTCTTTCATAAGTCTAAACACACCATTCCTATGATATATCATTCCCTTGATACATCATGCCCTGATAAGTTGCAAACCCACTTATAACATGGGGTCAGGTGTGGATCCCAATTTTTAAACCGAAAATGCCAAAAATCTGATCCCATTTGTTGAACTTGAAGAAAATCGTGATCAAAATTGGTAACTGAAACTTTTGATATATCACTCAATTTATCATCAAAAACAGTAGATGGGACCTGGAAATGTAATCAACATTATGAAATATCAACTTTTAATAAGAAGTCATATAATTTATTTTTTTCTTTTCAAATGACATTCATATTAAACCACAACAATATTCAAAGACATTTTGATCTATGAAAATGACATGCCAAGTGGAGGCAGTACTTTAAAAAATACCAATTAAATAATTTTTATTATCAATTTAAATTTGTGTTTTAGTGCTATTTTTAAGTTCCTTTTAAGTGTAATCATCATAAATGCAATGTGTCCTCTTGTAATTAAATGCAAAATGTGTCAATCTACTGTCACAGCTATGTCTGCCAGCATTTCAAGAACCTAATTAAGTGCTCACTGTTTTGATATCAGTCTAGAGGAAACATTTGTTGTATTGTTGCACTAAATAAAAAGTGGGCCTACTTTTCTTTTATCATGGTAATTACATCGTTTGAATCAAATAAAATCGTTGAAATAAAAAAAATCAAAAGGCATACAAATTCTACATGTTTAAGAGTCATTGGCTCCAGTCATATGTCAGGTAACTTGTTTTAGTTGCTCAATCAAATACTGATTCATTTTATTGTATACATATCTAATTAAACTACCTTAAATTAACTTAATCATAAATGCAATGAAAGATTACAAGGAAATGAAGTGAAATGAGTGCTTCATAAAATAAAGAGCTTTGTTTCACAGATTGACCATTGTGGGCAAAACGAGTGTCAGAGAATTTTTTAATTCGCATGTAGATATCCTCAAAAGTGATAAGAAGTTTCAGTATTACTATGAAAAGTCTGTCTTTATCCTGATAGAATCAAAACCTGATAGAAGCAAATGGACACATTTTTATGTTCCATTCAGCTGGCAGGAATATAATGGAAGCGCCAGGAATGCTGAAATTGGATTAGGTTGATTGTTTCTCTATTGAAATGAATATAAACATACTAATATTTAAGAAAGTGCTTAGATATCTTTGCTTCATTCATGATATTTATTTTAACCAATTTTGCCATTCCAGTAGTAGTTTTTGGTACTAGTGGTAGTAGTTAGTACTACAACACTAGTTAGTAGCAGCAGCAGTAAAAAGCTACTTTATTGGTATACCTATCTTTTGAAGAAAATAGTCCCATACTATAAACTTGTGTAATATCTGTCCCTCATTTAAAGGTAATAAGCTGGAAGTATTACATATTGTTACATAACCAGGCAGGTGTAAAATCAGGATGACTAAGGTATGGGAAGAATTTTACAGAGTTGACAGTTGAGCATGGTAACACCTTGTTTTTCATGGCATTGACCAAAATGTAAACCAGACACTTTTGTTACATATTGCCTTCTACTACAATGAAGATCTTACTATTTTACTATTGATACTCAAAATGAATCAATGATGCTTTTAATTAAAGATGTATCACATGATGACATGCATTTTTATTGAATTTGTACACCATTTTTGATGGGAGTAATGCATCAGATATAGTTAACATTATGACTCCCTTATGGCTAATTTTATCAGATGTCAGAAAATTTGTTAGTAAACTTGGAGGAGAAAATCTTGTACATATACTTGTTGACCAAGTCATACACCTGAATGTACATTTGGTGTTATGGACATGCCTATTAACATAGTTGTACTCTGGCAGTGCATCAGGTGGTATGGACAGGCAGTTTGACCTAGTCCTACATGGACAGGTAGTTTGACCTAGTCCTACATGGACAGGCAGTTTGACCTAGTCCTACATGGACAGGCATGTTGACCTAGTCCTACATGGACAGGCAGTTTGACCTAGTCCTACATGGACAGGCAGTTTGACCTAGTCCTACATTGACTGGCAGTTTGACCTAGTCATACATGGATAGGCAGTTTGACCTAGTCCTACATGGACAGGTAGTTTGACCTAGTCCTACATTGACTGGCAGTTTGACCTAGTCATACATGGATAGGCAGTTTGACCTAGTCCTACATGGACAGGCATGTTGACCTAGTCCTACATGGACAGGCAGTTTGACCTAGTCCTACATGGACAGGCAGTTTGACCTAGTCATACATGGACAGGCATGTTGACCTAGTCATGCATGGACAGGCAGTTTGATCTAGTCCTACTTGGACAGGCAGTTTGACCTACTATTCATACATGGACAGGCAGTTTGACCTAGTCATACACGGACAAGCAGTTTGACCTAGTCATACATGGACAGGCATGTTGACCTAGTTCTACTCTGGCACGTGCATCAGGTGTTAGGGACCGTAAGTTTGACCTAATCATACTCTGGCTTGTGCATTAAGTGTTATAGACAGGTAGACTTATTGATGTATTAAACCTGTAATGGTAAACAAAATACATGTTTAATCCCCATGTTAAATTCCCTTGTCTGTATATGGTTCCATCCTGTTAAATCCACATGTTAAATTCCATTGTCCGTAAATAGTCCCATCCAGCTCATTCCCCATGTTAAACTTCCCTTGTACGTATATAGTCCCACTCGTGTTACATTTCCATAGTCCGTAGACTATCCCCTCTTGTCAAATTCCTATTGTCCCTATACAGTTTCAATCCCTTGTTGCTCTACATTCCCTATGTTCAATTCACCTTGTCCCTTGACAGTCCCAACATATGTTAAACTTTTCCTTGTCTCGCTATAGTCCCGCCTATGTTAATATTCCCCATGTTAAATTCCCCTTGTCGCCAATGTAACCCCTCCCCCAATTTAACGTAGAGGTCTCGCTGACGCTATATCGTCCCAATACCTTGTCATTATGTTCAATTCCTTTTGTCGCTATACAGTCTCAATCCCTTGTCGCTATGTTCCATTTTCCCTTGTCGCTGTACAGTCCCAATCCCTTGACGCTAAACAGGCTCAGCCATGTTAAAATTACTCATGTTAAATTCCCATAGTCCCTATAGTGGATATACCCCCTTTTAACACAGAATTCCCCTTGAGGCTATAGTGCAATTGACCAAATTTAACATAGAAGTCAACGTGAGGCTGTGTCGCCCCCATATACTAATTTTATTTTTTTTTCTAATATTTCCATAACCAATTTAGTTCAAATTTTTGAATGTAAGACCATCACACGCCGACCTTATGCTAAAATCTGGATCTGAGGTTAAAACATGTCAAGATATTACGTGCTAAAACACGGTAACAAAATCAGGTGGAAGAAGAATCTTGATATGAAAGACTTTCGGTTTTAAATTAAGGTGTATTTAATAGGACATTTTATACATACAATCTTTGTTTAATATACTCGAAGAATCTCGTGTACAAACTCGACATAAATGATCTCTTTAGGAAAATTAGATCAAGATCAATACAGATAAAGAACTACAGTAGTTCAGTTGGTGGAGTGTTAGACTCGTAATCCAATCGTCGCTGGTTCGTTAACCGCCCGGCCAGCCTGAATCTCCTTTTTTTCCGAGTATCTTTGCGAAAGACAATTGGCTTCTATTTCCTCGCGATGATATAACCAATATGTTATAAGTGCCGTAAAAGAAAACAAGCAGCCAATAATAATTATTAAATTCCTTGTCACTGCTTGCTAAATGTTTGCTCCTAAACAGTCTGAAAGAGGAGACAAAAATGGTGCAAACCTCCTTACCATGTAAAGTGCCAAGTAGTCTGCTCCCACTTTCGTGAGGTCTAATGTAAGGTAATCCTCCGCGTTTTGCCTGATGTCGTTAATTGTCGGGGTCTTTCCATCTTCAATTTGGCTGAAAATTCCAGATATTTCTCGACTGGCTTTAAATACAGTAAACTTCCTTTCTTTAACAAGTTTATGGACACTTGCTTCATTCGTTCCTTCTTGTATTAAAAGATACTGTACAATTTTCTCAAATTTGTCAAATCTCCTTTGAGCTACAACGGCGGAATTACGCATCCAGCAGTAGCCACCAAGAACGTTTTGAGTAAAATTTTTGTCGCCTGGAATAAATAAACCTACATTGCATGATTCAAATATTACATGTGAATCCGAGATGTAGTTCAAAAAATACGAGACGGGAAGAAATACCGTAACTGGATGTTGTGATTCCTTGAAAAAACTCCGAAGCATGCTTATCGCCCGAATGACTCTCGTCGATGGATGCGAGGCATATAGCATCAGGACGAAGTTTTCAGGTTTGGACTTTACTTGACAGCTCTTGAGGTACCCGCCTCCTCCTGGAATTCTCGAAGGATTATGCTTGTCAAAGTCACCGTAGTTTCCAGCTTTTGCATCCCAATGTTCCACAGGAACTCCCCTCACCTTAAACTTCCCTTTTGCGTGATCCAGAATGTCGAGATTCTTCGTTGCTGTATAGTATTTGTCGATGTGTTCCAAAGCGTCAATTTTTACAATATAATTTATGATCTCCTTCTCGTGGTCAGATTCTAGCTTTAAAATCACATGGTCATCTTCATGGAATGAATCCTTGATCCACTGTCCGATGTCTAGAAAACTGATCTCTTCTGTGACCGCAGCACCATAGCCAAACCCCTGATTATTTCTTGTTTCGGTGCCGTTCCTGGTCGACACAACCACCGGCGCATGAACAGTATGATTTGGGAAGTCGTAGTACATTATGGCGTACGTTTTGTCCGGTAGAAATGTTATGATCTCAAATTCATTTGCAGCTGGATATGTATCCAAAAACAGATCAACTGTCCAAGGATACGTTCCACCACAGTTCAGGAACACTTTTCTTGGGGTGTAATTGCGAAACTGAATGCTCAGATCCTTCTTGATACTAAGTCCAGGCCTTCCCTCCTTTCGCGGTTCATGCCCGGAACGATTTAAGTTGCTACTGCCGTTTTGAATGAAACTTGCCGTTGGGGACTCTGCTCTTTTTGCATGGACCTTTTTAGTCGTGAAAACCCATTCTTTAAACTGCTCTGTACTTTTTAAATCCCGAGAATATCGATGCATAAGGTGGCCAAAAAGTCCACCAAGTACAAACATGAACGTTATTAAGACAAATCTCCGAAACTTCATTTCATCAAAATGAAACCTGGCTTGAGAAATTGCTGAAATATTAACCAAAATAAAAAATTAAAAATTTTCCAGAGTTCTAGAGTTAAGAGCTCTAAGACTTGTTATACAGTGATTCAGTAATATGATATTATCTGTAGATAAGCTGACAAAGAATTCATTATCTTACAAGTACAATGCTCTGCGTGGGTGGAGACATGTGACGTATGCTATAACTCCCATCCACGTCTGGTCTTACAATTGATAACGTCTTCAATATTGGACTTGAGCTATTCACGGTTATTAAAAAAAAAAACGTTCAGATTTAATTCTTAAATAGTGTTTCCTTTTGTTTAAAAATTTTGATTGTGTTGTACAATTGTTTTTATAAAATGGAACATGCGCTGCGGTAAAATGTATTGAGACTGGTGTAGCATAATTTTGAGAATTTATCACTTTTTACACAGGTTATTTTCCACTTGTAAGGGCAGGGGCGGTTTTTCTCTTATTTCGACTGTAGCCCTAGTTGTATAGTGGAAGCTCCATGAAACAAAACTTTAATACTATTGAAAAGGAAATAAGAAAACTTCATTTATTGTTTTAACAATTCTATACTTTCAGATAATATGACTTATTTGGCATATGCCATGTGATTTTTTTTTCTTCGCATGGCGCCATCAGTGGTGGTCTAGTGGTTAGAGCATCCGTCTCGGATCGGGGATATCGCGGGTTTGAACCCAGGCCGAGTCATACCAAAGACATAATAAAGGTACTTACAGCTGTCTTGTTTGGCGCTCAGCATTAAGAGGTTAGCGTTAGGACAGGTCGACCTGGTGTCAGGAGAATGTGACTGGGTGCGACATCATGCTACATGTCTGTGGCATGATCCCACAGTGCTAGACATCAATATAAACTGCTACACTGTATACATCGTAGCGATATGACTGAAAAAACGTTTAAAGCTACGTTAACATCCAAATCACACACACACACACACACACACACACGACATCCATGATGGGCGAAATTATAATGTCCCCTTGTTTAGAATAGCGTGCATATAGAAACGAACTGGATATCTTTAAAGAGATGATAATTATACTGATTGCACCACTAATTATAGAGCCGGTAAATGCGGTCCGAGGCCGTTGAGCCGGTAAATGCGGTCCGAGGCCGTTGAGCCGGTAAATGCGGTCCGAGGCCGTTGAGCCGGTAAATGCGGTCCGAGGCCGTTGAGCCGGTAAATGCGGTCAGAGGCCGTTGAGACGGTAATTGTGGTCAGAGGCCGTTGAGACGGTAATTGTGGTCAGAGGCCGTTGAGACGGTAATTGTGGTCAGAGGCCGTTGAGACGGTAATTGTGGTCAGAGGCCGTTAAGGTGATCAGGATCAGTTAGGGGTTAGTTCTTGTCAGGAGCCAGAATTGTAGATTTTGCAAGTTTTGGGGGGATTCATTAATTGTGTTCTATACTAAGATACAGAGGACACTTTTTGTCACCGTCAGATAACGACTGCTTTCCATACGCATTAATTATCTTCGTTTTAGGGGACGCTAATTGTTGTCCAAATTAATATATAGTGGAAAAATGTAACAACCATCGGATACCAACGACCTTTTTATAAATAAAAGAAGACGAAAGTAACCAGTTCTATCCTTCAAATCAATATTTCTCACCTGCTACTGATTTACAGGTATGTAAAAGAAGAGACTGTCAATTTCCCTGTGCTTTTTGTCAACATGTTGGATTTCCTTCTGATTCCATTAAATGTCTGCACACTTGTACTTTCACTTCATGTCACTGGAATCTTTGTTTGCTGGTTTGTATATTTTTTAAGATATCCCAAGATTAATTCATTGAAGAGAATCGAAATTTGCTTCCGCTTTAAACTCGATGGCTCTAAAGTCTTTTGAAAACTTTTTTTTACGAAGATGAGTAGATAGGCTTGCGTTTAAACTTCTCTACTTATCAACACATGTTATGTCTACAAACGTAATTGTGGATGAATATATAAATATCTCTTTTGTAAGTTTTAAATGGGTTTTTTGGGTGGGGTGTACTTGGCATCTTTACTACAAGTCTACTCATTCGTTGAACAACATTTAGTTTCATGGGGAGGGGGATATCTTAGAGTCGTCCTTTTCGTCAAGAGCAAGACGTTATAATCCAAATTTTGAAATCCATCGATTAATGGTATCCATAACTCTGTTGATAAAGTTATCCTACTAACAACCGTACTACAGATACAACAGTCTTGACTCAATGACATTAATAAAAATATTGTTACCTGTTTAGGCTCGTACAAAGTAACAAAGAAAAGAGTGAAGACAACAAGTTTTCTAAATTTAACAAAAATATTTATTTCCATAGAAAACAAGGTAAAAATATGAAAAAGGAGTTACGGTATGCAGATCTAATCCAAAAATTAATCTAAGAATTTAAAAATATAAGTCATATCACTAAAAAAAAAGTTCGAAATGAATCAAAGTTCGAATCCTGATGAAGTTCCAAGATGGAAGGCGATGACGTCTTCTAAATCCTGTTTTGTGCTATCGTGTCAACAGCTCCTTGTTGAGTTTTATGAATCAAGAATAATATCCCGGCTTTTGAATTCCGAAGAATTTCCAATAAATGTCTTTGTCCACAAATTTTTATGATCAATGGTATTTTCCAGGTAATATAAATTATTATATCAAAAAAATAGAAGAATTTTAAATCAAACTGGCAACAACAAGACAAATACTTTGAGCCTGAAGGCATACATTTACGACTGACTAAAAACACTAAAAACATTAGATCAAATGGTGGGGTCACGTGGTCACTTTAAACAACGCAGTAAAAAAATGTCAGTTAGCACGTAGGCTATACGGGTTCGATGGTACTGAACGAATCTTACTATACTATTCAATCATTTAAAAAATATAAAGAGGTTGTTTACAACAGAGCTGACGCAAGCCAAGAATGACCCTGATTACGATCGGTGATATTTACTCTGTGTTTACCAATTTCTGAATCAATGTCAGGAACTAGGTTAGCTAAAATTACAATATAGCAACACCACCGCGTTTTAATCAGGCTAAAACAGAAAACTTAATTTTCCGAAAAAAGGTAAAATCCAGTGAATAAAGTTATTACAATAACATGTAATGAAATAAAAATAAAAAATAAAAACTTTAAAACTAACACACATGTAATAAAATTACATATACGTAACAATATATCTGAGATACGGTGAGCTTTGACCAATCAAATGAATGGAAACGTATCTGAGATTCGGTGGTCTTTGCCCTATTACATGAATAGAAATGAATCAGGGTTACAATGTTGTCATAAGTTGTTTGTTCACATGTTGGTTATAAATTTTAATTTTCTAGAATTTACTAAACGCCACCATATTATCTGTTTATCTAGTGATGCCTTATTATAAACAATAAATACACCATTTGTGACAAGCTCTCT